AGTGAGGAGCACTGGCAGCGTTCAGGTGTCAGGGGGCCTGTGGCCCTAATGGGGGCCCTTTAGAGCTCTCAGCCAGACTCGAGGAGAATATGCAGTGCCGGGAGGGGGGAAAGGTGCCCTTTGGGTGTATTTTGTGGACTTTTGACCTTCCTCGTCATTAGACGTGAGCATGGCGATACGTTGTGGAGCCTTGTTAAAGCAGGTGGCCAATTTGAAGAAGCTTAATGGCAAGGATGGCTCCTTCGCTAAGTCCCCAACTTGTATTTCAGATGTCTGCTTAACAGTAATAAAAAATAATCCCATGAGAACATTAACGCTTTACACTCCAGCATTCGTTACTCTCTGTTCACACAGTTCAGCAAAGGAAAAGCCGTGTGTGCAGCCCCCACTGGCTCTGCAGCTGGCAGGTAACTGCGTTAAAGCTACCACCAGCCTTTCCCCCGCAGCAGCTGGTGCTTCCTCTGCTGCTTTATAAGGCTGGAGAGTTCTCCTGGCCAGGCCACGTGATGCCCACTGAAACGAAGCTCTGGGTTTGCAGGCCCGTGGAAAGTCTGAGCTGGGAGTTGAGAAGACAGAAAACAGGCTTTTGCAGATGTTATCACTTAGGGCTATTTGTGTGTATCCAGTCTTTAAAAGAATGTGTCTAGAGTGACCGTACAGCAGTGGAAGAGCCAGTGTTGTGCTTTCCAGCTCAGGTTTGGTAGCGTTTGGTGAAATGACAGTGCAGGCAGAGCTGGCACAGCATGCTGTGAAGTTTGTGGTCTGTATCTTTGCTCTTTGTTTCCTTACTTCAAACAAATAACTTTGTCCTTTTATCACTACTCATAATTCCTGATGAGGCCAAGTACAATCGGGATTTAGTTTGGACGGCAGAAGTGGGCATGCAGTGAAATAGTTTTTGCACGCGTTTTGCTTCTTTTTATTCATACTGAGGGGAGGCTTTGTGGCATACTCTAATGTATACACGTGAAGACTGTTGCTGGCTCCATGGGCTTTCTGCAACTAAAACCTGTTTCTTTTTGGATGGCAAAGGAGCCAGAAACTGGAAATAAGAAACAAATGTTTTAATTAGAGTGTTTCTTTTGCAAAAGGTGGAGAATTGTGGACTCTCATAGGATAAGTGCAGGCTTGATTTGAGATAGAACCATAGAATTGTCAGGGTTGGAAGGGACCTTAAAGATCATCTAGTTCCAACCCCCCGCCATGGGCAGGGACATCCCCCACTAGATCAGGCTGCCCAGAGCCCCATCCAGCCTGGCCTTAAAAACTTCCAGGGATGGGGCTTCCACCCCCTCTCTGGGCAACCTGTGCCAGGGTCTCACCACCCTCATGGGGAAGAACTTCTTCCTCACGTCCGATGTGAACCAACTGATCTCCAGCTTTAGTCCGTTCCCTCTAGTCCTGTCACTACCCGACAGCCTAACGAGCCCCTCAGCAGCTTTCTTGTAGCCCCCTTGAGATGGTACAAGAGAGTTTTTCCACAAGTAGTGAAAACTCTTGTCCCGGAAGTAAGACCCTCAGGCTATTCCCCAAAAGAAATGTGTGGTTTTTAAAGTTATAACTATTTTTTAAGAACGGGACTAACCCCTTTTTACATACCTGTTACATGGAAGCTGACAGTGAGGCAAGCCTGCTCCCGTTTTGTGACGTTAAGCTAATCCTTTACAGGTTAAAAAACCCAGTTGCATAAGGAGAGCTGGACTAGGGGTAACAGGTCTTTGGTGACGCTCAGTTGCTTGAGCAGACTGAGAGGGGGGCAGCAGAGCGTGGCTGGATGGAGATAGCAAAGCAGCTGCTGCTCCCCGAAGTCAGAGCAACTTGAAGGTTTAAGTATGGAAAGTTTCAGCAGAGAGCTCGCAGGGAGACTTGTCCCTCTCTCCTACTGTGAGCTCTGTGTACGGAGGATCAGTAAGCTCGTTAACAAGGGAATTGGAATTGTGGCTTAGAAGTGAGTCTTTATCACAGCAACTTTATAAATGTTTTCAGCTACTTGTGCAGTCCTACAGAGAGACTTTTCTTCCGTTATGTGGAGTATTTCCGTGGTTTTCTCTGAAAAGACAGAGGGCTTTCTGTAAAAAGGTATTGATGTTTGACAGAAGGCTGAACAATGGGAAATTAAGGAGTCCTGTGGCCAGATATCCTTTTTACACCTAACCTTTGTCGTAACAGAAATGAACTTCCTCTGAAGTTCCCGCTTTGCTGTTTCTATGCGAGTACACAAATCCCACGTAGCAGAAAACAGTACGTGCCTTGCAAACCTCGGTCTGAGCAAATTCTGGGTCAGGATGCTTGAGCCTGGTGACTCGGACTGAATGAACGCAGAGGATGGTGTGTCCTGTGTCTGTTTTTTTTTTTATTTGAAGTAAGGTGTAAAGTATAAGCCTGGAGGGCGTATTTTATGTTTTTTGAATCATGTTCTGCCGTGCTGTGCCATAGCTGTCCTGAGTACTTTGCCAGGGCGAGCTCACGTGGATAATGTCAAATGCTGGATTCACTGGGGCTCTTAAGATTAACCGGAGTGAAGAGAGGATGTGCCCTGCAAAGTGATTCTCACACTGATGTAGTAGTAGAATGTATGTAAATGTATGTAAATGAATGTAAAGTCATAGGTATTTAAGAAGTTAAGGGAAACAAATTGCATGTAGAGGAGGAGGAAGAAGAAATGGGAGCAGCTGCCCTGCAGTGCTCTTGCTCTGGGCGTCCGTGCTGTCTGCCTGATGCCTTATCAAACGGGTTTTGTCTGTCTCTGTTCTGCAGGACAGCAAGGGATTTATTTCTGCCTTTTACAGGACACAGCGACTTGTTATTACAAACAAGTAACAGGTCTTAAAAATTGCAAACTCCTGGAAATTATGCAAAGGAGAGGTTAGGAACTACCCGTAAATTTTCAAATTACGGTGATAGAGCAGATATAAACAAGATCATTATGATGGCCAAATGAGGGCAACGCTTCTTTTAAAGAAGAATTGCTTTTTAAAAATCAGAGATTTTTGAATGTGAGGGAGGAAAATTAAAGCTGGGCTTCTGATGCCTCATGATTTTTGGTTGTTGTTCCCCTGGCCCACTGCAAGAATTTCTGTTTGTGGCAGCAACTTGAAAGAAAGTGTTGATGGGGACTTGTTTTGGGTTTAGTTCTCACTCCCATTGCTACATGTGCGAGTCCAACATCGTGGAGTGAGCACCTGCGTTTTGGTTCCTCTCATTTTGATGAATGATAGATAAAACCGAGGATTTGGCTAATCATAATGCTTGGAGGGGACCTTGAAAGATCATCTGGTCCAAAGAGCTCCTGGATTAAAACCAACAATCCCATGAAAAAAACCCAAACCCCTGCGGGTGTACAAAGGAGAACTGCTGAACGCCTGGCGAGGGGCTGGGCTGGCAGCTTGTTTCCCAGTGAGCATTATGCAAAGTAACGTAAACCCAGAGTATTGGAAGGGACCCAGATTGAATGCACCAGTAGAAAATAACTTTTTTCCCCCCTCCCTCCTGTTATTGGGTTGAGCTGTAGACATAATGCTGAAATATTTTGCTCGTTCATGGTGTGATAGGATCCTGTAGAGACTCGGGAGCATGTCCAGCACTCAGTTACAAATTGATTTAAGAGGCTTTTATTAGTGAAGTTCACCGTGGAACGGCCGGTGAAGGCTCAGTGTATGCTTCTGGGGCCATCAGGTCTAATAATCTAAAACATTATAGAGTGTATTTAGTATTTTTTCTCCTGTCTTGGCCATCGTAAACAAGAAAATCAACCATGAAGCACGGCTAGAGCCTGTGAAGGTCTCAGGGGTAAGAAGAGCACGTTTTCTTGTGCTGTGCATGTGCTCCTGTTACTAATAAAAAAATGTTGGCTGCCGTTGATAAAAAAATAAGAATTCGGTGTTCCTGCCTTTCTCCTCTGTGCTGTAGGACCTAAACCATAAGATTTGTGCTTGTTACTTAATGTTGAAATAGGAAATAGAAGAAACAAAAGAAAATAGAGGAGTTTGTCTTCCGTGCTTGTATTGTAGTGAAACAGCTCCCCATTTTCTTTTTTCTGTTTTAAAGAGAAAATTTTATCGTTGCCCAAAATATCTCAGCTGTGAGATAAGTTCCTTCTGTGCCTCGCACACTGATTTCCTGCGAGTCCTCTATTTCTGTCTTAGTAATTCACAGGCAGGGAAAAAAGAACACCTGAGGGGGACAGCATTTTCCCTTCTTCTCTAGGCTGGAGTAGCTTAACCAGTCTTTCTGGTTAATCTTAGTTTCCAGCTAAAATATAAACAAGATAAAAATCTTGGGTAATCTGGGTTTTGTGAAGTAGAATATAATGAAATGTCACTCTTCATAGAGTAATTTCATTTATATTATAATCCGTTGTCTATCTGGAAAGTGGGTGAATTGTTAATTCTTTTAAAGAGGAAGCCTTGGTTTGGAAGCTCAAGGAGAACTGCTTGTATGTCTCCAGAAATAAAATACATTTAAGTATTAAATACAGTTTTCAGAAGTTTTAATAATTTAATCAGCTGTTGTCTTTTGCATTGCTCACAGCTGAGCTGTTCTAGCTCACGTGATTGTTGAAGCGAATCTGAACTAACCCAGCGGTATCGCATGAACATCAGTGTTTGGAACATAAATACGCAAAATAAATGCAGAAATGATCTAGGTTGGGGTTTTGGGGGGGTTGGGTTATTTTGTTTGGTGTTTTTTCCCCACTCTTGTTTTTCAAAATGTTTAATTACTTCTTAAAAAGCCCTTAACCTACCAGCTGCACATGAGAGAGGTCTCTTCTTTGTTGAGGGAGAGCAGAATCCGATGTCCCTGCTCCCTGCTCTAGTGCCAGCTGCTGCCTTCCTTCGAGGGGTGCACGGGACATCGTGCTGGTGCTGCTGAGGGGAAGAGATGTTGAAATGTGGTCACTGCTTAACTTTCTCCTCCTCCACCCCTTGCAGAACAGCCGCTGTGGGAGAGCGTCGCTCCGTCCGTTACGACTGTGCCGTGGATACACCACGCACTCGGGAGAGTCTGGGTGCGTAGAAGGTTTTGGAGGGTGGAATTGGTTCTTCTGTTGCGTTGGCCAAGAATCTGCTCCTTAGTTTCACGTGAGAGCGGCTTGATAGTGGAGAGATGTTTTTTTTTTATTGTTGAGTAGCTCTTCTTCTCATGGTACGGGGCGTTACTTGTTTGATTCAGTCACATTTAAATGAAGGTAATCAAGATGATCAATATTTAGAAAGAAGGTTGTGGTTTGCTGTCTTGTCTTTGGGCTAGAATCATAGTGCGGTTTAGGCTGGAAGGGACTTTTAGAGGTCACCTAGTCCAGCCCCCCTGCAGTGAGCAGGGACATCTCTCACTAGATCACGTTGCTCAGAGCCCCACCAAGCCTGACCTTGAATGACGAGGCATCTACCTTCTCGCTGGGCAACCTGTGCCAGTGTTTGACCACTCTTACTGTAAAAAATTTCTTCCTTCTGTCCAGTCTAAGTTTGCCCTTTTTAAATTTAAAACTGGTGAACTGGTACAGTACCAGGGATTTGCTGGTGCTGGAAGTGATTTGCCGTGGGTGCTGGCTTTGTTGGCGAGCTTCTGGAACAGCCTGGTTGTCTCCAGCTGGAAGTTAAAGACTCACAAACCGTTTGATGTTTGTCCTATAGTACAATTTATGTAACTTTTACTCTTTTTTTTCCGCTCTCTCAGTGTTTCTGTAGGCAAAATCATTGGTGCGGGTGTCCTGTTCGTGGGTGGAGGGGTAGGTGGAACCGTCCTGTACGCCAGCTATGATCCACAATTCCGGGAGAGCGTCGAGAAGGCTGTGCCCTACTCGGATAAACTCTTTGAGCTGGCGCTTGGTCCTGCACCTTACAGCGCCCCGATGCCGAAGAAACCGGTAAGTGCTTCCCGCCCACCCCCACCTAGTCATTTTTTCTTTTTTCTTTTTTTTTTTTTAAAAGAGCACCTGCTCTCAGTTTGCAAAGTGTAGTTCATTTTGCCGTACACTAAGTTGAGAATTTTTAAGAATCCTTAAGAAGGTTTAAGAATTGTGAACTGAGGTGCTACTTTGTGCTGCCTAACTTTTCCTGTTATCATCTTGTGACTGTGGTCTCTGGGATGTAAAACTCTTATTTTCATTTACAGTAAAATAATGTAGCAGGATCCTAACTGAATAGCTCTTCTGCGTAAAATCAAATAAGTCATGGAAAGAGAGAGGTAGGTGACACACCAAAATTCAGCTGGTTTACTGTAACTAGGGATTTAGTGTAGCTAGTGATGTTGCAGGATTAGATAATTTTATATTTATAAGTTGTTGTCTGCCCAGTCATGGCTCTGCCTCAAATGCTGGGTAGTGACCACTGATGGCCTAACTTGTTTTGACAGTAAGTGCTTGAGAGATTTGAAATAAAGAGAATTGTCAACTGAATTAATTTAAGATATACCTGTATGGACTAAATAATATCCATGAGGAAATAATTGAAATTTGCTTTCTGAAATTGTTTCAGACCTTCATGTACTTGTGGTTTTTTTATAGTTTCTGCATTATATGCAGTCTTTCCAAACACACAGAAGTGTTTGGGTCATGAAATTGTTTGCTTTTTTATGCCTACCTTGGTGAATATTTGTAGTGAGAACTGGCACTACTATACCTTCAGTTTTGGACAGCTGAAAATTGTAAGGATTTCTTATAAATTAAAAATCAAGGCAAAAAATTACATGGCCTTACCTCTGTTTTCATGTGTACCTCAAAATTTAGCTTTGTGATACAGTCGTCTGGATGTGGAAATACTCTTTTCCATTTGAATGGAACTGGTGAGACACAGGCCGTTTGGAAAACTGATGATATTTCTCATTTTTGGTCTTTCAAGATACAGCAAGGTCCACTGAAAATCTCCTCTGTAGCGGAAGTAATGAAAGAGTCTAAACAGCCCACTAGCAAATCCCAGCTGAGCAAACCAGAAGCTGTTCCTCCTTCAGAGGAAAAAGAAGGTAACCTCACGGAATGTCATGTAGAAAGAAACAAAAGACTTGACCATCTCTTATGTCAAACATCCTAGGGTAGATTAAGATAGTCCTTTGGCGTGGTTGAAGATGAGTATGTTATTAATTCTTAGAATTAATGTGATTTTCTTTTCAATCGTGAGAAAAATGCCTTTAGCTATTTTTTTTGCTGTTTTTTTTTTTTTAAATTTAACTTACAGAACATTTGGAATTTGACATAAAAAATGTAACTGCAAAATATCCACAAAAGACGAGCACGGGTTGATGATCTGTTGTGTCAGGTGGACAAGTTGCAGGAAACAGTTAAAAGGAACTGAGAAGGAGATAGGTGGTTTCAGAACTGTGCTGCTGTGGTGGAGGTCACAGAGCATGAGGTTCCTTGGACCCTGGTGACCTGCAAAAGCAGGGCTCTGCTTCAGTCCCCCACTCCAGCATTCCAACAAAAGCTTTAACAGCTGTAGGCACCCACAAGCGAGGTCTGCAAGGAGAACCTGTACCAGCAGCACACGGTGGGTACCACAGAAAGGAGCGCTGAGTACTCACAGTGGCGTGAGTCCAAAGTGACAACGCTTATGCCATTGCCACCAGCTGAGGCGCAGGCCAGCCGGAGCCGTAACAAATGTTCCTTTGCTGCCTCCCAAGATGTGGACCAGAAGACCAACCACCTCAAGCGTACGGATACTGTTGCACGCAGCCTGGGGAGCAAACGGGAGGAGCTGGAGCTTTGTGTCCTGTCAGAAAGCGATGGTATCATAGGAATAACTGAAACATGGTGGGATGGCTCGCATGAGTGGAGGATCACAATGGCTAAAGGCTGTTTTGTAAAGACAGACAGGGAAGAAGGAGTGGTGCTCTATGTTAACGAGAACTTTGAATGTATAGAAGTCAACTGCAGCAATTGTAGAAGCCCTATTGAGTGGCTCTGGGTCAAGATCAGAGGGGTTGTGTCCATGGGGGATGCTACAGTAGACATCTGATACCGACCCCAAGACAGTAAGGCCAGCGAAGCAATACTTGGGTCACTTGAGCAAGCTTCAGGTCAAAACAAGATGGGTGACTTCTACTTAGACAGTTGTTGGAAGAAAATACGGCAGCTCGCAGGTCATCGATCGAGTTCCTGAAATGTGTAGAGGACTTCCTTCTCTTACAGACCAGAGATGTGCCAGCCAGGAGTGAGGCACTGCTGGATTTGCTGCGCACAGACCAGGAAAACCTGCTTTGGAATATCTCGGTTAAGGATGGCTTTGGCTGCAGTGATCACAGGGTTGTGGAGTTTGGGATCGCGCTGAGCACGCAGGAGTTTGGTCCTAAATCAACAATTTTGGACTTTTAGAGGAGCAAACTTGCCATTGGGCCCCAGGCCTTGGGAACAAAACCCCAAGTTAATGCAAACACCGACTCACCATCAGGGAAGGAAGAGTTGGTGCGTGAACTGTTACAGGACCCTGACCCCTACAAGCTGATGGCCGCAGCCCTTATCCACCCCAGGGTGCCGAAAGAGCTGTGAGACCAGTGTCCATAATCTTTGAGAAGCTGTGGAGATTGGGGGACATCCCAGAAAGCCGGTGGAAGGCTAGTATCACCCTCAATTTACAGGAAGGGCTTAAAGAAGGATCCAGGAAATTACAGGCCCATCAATCTTACTTCAGTTCCTGGAAAAGTCATGGACTGAATCCTCCTGGGGGCTGTCACAAGCCAAATGGAGCGTGTGATTGGGAAAAGCCAGCACAGATTGGCCAAGGGCTGATCATGCTTGACAGACCTGATTGTCTTCTACGACAAAGTGACGGGCTTGGTTGAGGTGGGCTGAGCAGTGGACGTTGTCGACCTGGATTTCTCCAAGGCTTTCGACATGGTTTCCCACAGCCTCTTCCTAGAGAAACTGGTGTGTTATGATTCAGAGAAGTGGTCTGTGCGGTGATGGGAACTGGCTGACTGGAGAGTGCTGAACATAGCTCCTTCTCAAATTGGCAATCTGTCAAAAACGGGGTCCCTCAGGGATCAATACTGGGCTCAGTGTGGTTTAATATCTTCATAAGTGATCTGGATGATGGGATCAAGCACACATTAGTGAAGCTTGCTGGATGATACCAAACCGAGATGACGTGGACACTGGAAAAGGAGACGCACCCTGCAAGAAGACCTGGATAGGTTGGAAGAGTGAGCTAAGAAGCACCTTACGAAGTTCAGCAAGGACAAGTGTCAGGTCTTGCACCTGGGAAAACACGATCCAGGAGTGCAGCACAGGCTGGGATCTACCTGGCTGGGGAGCAGCTCTGTGGAAAGAGAGCTGGAGGTCCCAGCGGACAACAACCTCAATATGGGTGAACATTTGCTGCAGCACAGAAAGCCAAGGGGTTGCTGGGTCACATCCACAAGGGCATCACCAGAGATAAGGAAGTCATTATCCCACTCTACAGGCCACACCTGGAATGCTGTGTTCCTTTTTGGTCCCTGCTCTTCAGAGAAGATGTGGGCAGGCTGGAGCAGGTCTAGAGAAGGGCTGTGAAGGTGATCTGAGGTCTAGGAAGCTGCTGTGTGAGGAAAGGCTGGGAAAGCAGGGTTTGTTCAGTCTTGAGAAAAGAAGGCTTCGGGAAGACCGTATCACCATGTTCCAGTATTTGCAGTGGCTGTAAAGAAGATGGAGACTCCATTTTTACAAGGAGTCACATGGAAAAGACGATGGCTAATGGGTACAGGAGATACTGGAGACATACTGGTCAGATGCAAGAGAAAGTCTTTTCCCAGTGAGAACAGTCAGCCGTTGGAATAATCTCCCCACGAGAGTGGTGGATTCACCAACACTGGACACTTAAGATTGAGCTGGACAGGGTGCTGGGTCATCTTGTCTAGACCGTGCTTTTGCCAAGAAAGGTTGGACCAGATGATCTTTGAGGTCCCTTCCAACCTGGTCTTCTGTGATTCAGTGGCTCCTTGCACACTTGAGACATGAGACTCAGCAGGAGGAGTGCTTTGAGTGCTGCACTCTGAGCCCATTTACGTCTTCTTCGTGCAAGCGAAAGAAGCTTCATTTTGGATAATAAGTGAGCTACTGGAAAGCCAGATCAAATGGAACTGGTTTAGAGAGGAGCACTTGTGACATCTTTTTATATTTGTCTCTCATGGCTCTGCGTGTGTGTGTGTGTGTGTGTGTCTGTGTAAGTAATACCTGCTTGCTATTTGTCTGTGAAATTCTAATTTTTTCTGGAATTAATACCAGTGTCCAAATAATTGCGCAAAGGAAAAAAAAATAAGTCTTGTATGGCTGTTCTTACATTACAGCTCTTCTATACTAACTGGTTTTGTTTTGTAACTGTACTTAACAGCGGGCAAGGCTGCAGCACAGATCATCTCTGCAACAGGTGTGGCCATGTCGGTGCCAGCTCCGGGGATAGAGACTGAAGAAGGTGAAAAAGATCATATGAACATGATGAATTACAACAAAACCCTAGAGCTTCGAGTGCCTTAATTCTTACTTCTGTGTTGGTATTTGTTGTTTTTTTAAAGGCCTGATTGTTTTTGCCTTCCACAGAAGGAAACTTTCATGCTCTGGTAATAGATTTTTAACATACTGAGAAGCTGAGGTGGATACCTGGGACAGGCATAGATGTGAACACAAGAGAGAAGTTGACCTTAATGCTGAACTGGAACTTGTGGAGTCCAGTTCGCCTCTGCTCTGCGGCTCTCTGGTTGTGGTTCAGAAGAACGTGTCTGCCCAGGGCCAAGCGGGGAAACTGCATTTATTGCTGAGCATAACAAGAAACACCAGCTTCTATAGCACAGCCTCTTGCAGAGGAGATTATATTGATTTCTTTATCCATGAACACATTTCATAAGATGTATTCCAGCTACAAGTAAATACATCTTCAGGGTTAGCATCAGCGTTTTTAAAATGTGACCTGATGGGTTTTGTTGCAGCGTGAGTCTGGGAGGTGAGTCAGCGTGAGAGGTGGGAGGTGTGGGCTTTCTCCTCAGTTCAGGTGCAGACTTGCTGTTGGTCTTGAGAGAATTCCTTTAGGTCAGGGCTCACTCCTAAGGTGTTTTAAGTACCCTTAGGCTAGGGAGTAGAGTATAATTATGATTCATCATGGTTATTTGGGCTGGACTCTTAAGCATGACAAAGGAGAACTGGAAAAAGAACAGATACTTAAATTTTAAGCTTGGCTCTGTAAGTGTATTTTATTTCTTGGTTTGCCTTTTACTTCTGGATCTTGTGTGTTTTTGTAACTAGACAATCTAAAATCTACAGATGCATGTGAGGTATCTACACTACTGTCTTTAATTTAAGAAAGTGTGAGACTGGCCTTTGTAATTAAGGGTATAAAAATGCTTGAGGTAGTTTCAGCATGACTTTGTGCAGAAGTCAGATTTATAAAGTCTGTAAAAATCAGTTTTGAAAAGAAAGTTAATGCCCTACAAGTAATCTGTATTCTGTTTTGGACTCTGCAGAACAGTCAAACTCTTTTTTACTTCTGAATAGGTAAAGAACCTCCTGAAGATTCCCGTGCCGTAAAAGAACGGTCACCAGAAGAAGTTGCGGCCCGGCTTGCCCAGCAAGACAAAGAGGAGCAGGAGAAGATAGCGGGTACGTCCATACTGTTAGTTCTCCTGTACGTGTTGTACGGGACACAAGACTTGTTGGACTTTAGGTTGCTCGTGCACCTCGTTGTTGTAGTCCTTGTGTTGTGCTGGTGGCATGAGCGATGTCGAAGCTTCTTCCACTCACTAAGGAGGAACTGTTAGTCAAAGAATGATGGAAATATTTTGAGTTGGAATGGACCTCCAAGGTCTCTAGTCCCCTGCCCTGCTTGGGGAGTTGGGGCAGGTTGGATTGGAATAGAACAGGGCTGGGCCGGCCACTGAACACCGACAGATGCTCTCTAACCTTTCTCTCTCCCCAAACGGGAATGGAGAGGGAATAAGGCAGAGAGAATTAAGAGTTGGAAAATAAAACTAAAACAGCTTTAATAAAGAACAATAATGCTAATAAGGAAATAACAAAAATAAAGGTATGTACAAATACATACAAAACTGGTATTGAACCCAATTCCCCCCCCCAGTATAAACCCCCTCTGGTGCTGCAGAGCAGGTGGCACCGGGGAAGCCTCAGGCTCAGCAGCAGAGAAGAGCTGGATTTGGGAATTCGGGATCAGGATGAAAGGCATAAGATGGACAGAGTCCTCCTCTCACACCGGCTGTAGAGCAGGAGACTAACCCCTGTGATCCCTCAGCTTTATACTGAGTGTGACTTACATGGAATGGAATGGAATACTCTTGTTTGTCACCTCTCCTGTCCTTTCCTCCCCAGAGGTGCAACTTTTTACTTCCTTGTGACCCTTTTATTTCCCAGCACTCCAGATGTTGGCACACAAGAGCCAGCAGTGCCCTTGGTCACTATGGGAACGAGTATAAGCAAGAACCTTCCTGCATCCCAGTCCCAGGCAGTAGCTGTAAACATCAGGCCGTTATCCCCGCTAGTAGCAGGCACTGTCTGCAAAACCGTGCTGCAAACTTCAGAAGAAACTGAACCTCTTCGAAGAGACTGAGCTGAGAAGTAAAATGACTGGACAGAATTGGTTCTGTTTAGCTCAGACCAGGAGACACCACGTCATGGTTGACCAAAGTTAAAGCATGTTGTTAAGGGCGTTGTCCAAATGCATCTTAATGCATTTCCCACTTCTCTAGAAAGCCTGTTCCAGTGTTAAACCAACTTCTAGAAGTATAAATAATGATCCTTCCGCAGGAAGGTTGTTCAAGGCCTTCTCTCCTGGGGGTTTGAAGTTCTCCAAGGACAGATAGATTGTTCTACCTCTCGAGCAGCTTTGCTGGCACTTCTTGTGATGGAGAACTTAACACAACCAATTAATTTCTCTTGTTGGCACTTGGATCTGTTGCCTCTTGCCCTTTCTCTGGGCACCTCTGAGAAGTCCGGTTCAGTCTCTTCTGTAAGGCTCCTTTGGGTGTGGAAGGTGTTACCTGAGATACCCCTTCAGCTTCTTTCCTTGAGGCTGGAAGAAGCCCAGACCCCTCAGCTTGTCTGTGTCGTGTGCTCCCATCCCATAACCATCTCAGTGTCTCCCCAGTGTTCGCTCCCTGGTGTGTTTGTACCTTTCTCACACTCAGGCTCTCAACATGAGGCACCGTGTTCCAGATGTGGTCTCCTAAGTGTCAATTAGAGGGAGATCATTCCTCCTTCTGCTCTGCAGCGCGTGCTCTTGTGTGATGCAGCCCTGTTCGTGGTCTCAGGACTGTGCTGCCAGAGCAGGCTGTCGACCTGGGTTCAAGTCCTTGTCTACAGAGCTGCTGCCTCAGCTTGTGCAGTAGTGGTTCAGGGACAGTGTGTCGAGGTGCTGTGAAGAGTTCCCTGCAGGTTTCAGTTTGGAACTATGACAGTTCCTTGCTGGGTTCCAACTCAGACCTGTTATCCAGCTGAGAGGTGGTCTGGCTTTTCCTGCATCCCAAAACTCATGCCCTCCTTCTGTCTTGCTCAGAACAATGAGCTTTGTTTCCCCCCTTGTTTTGTTAGACTTTTAAATACTTCTTGGCTGTTGTTTGGTCTCAGTTTGGCTGCAGCACGATTATTTAAATCAGGAGTTTTGGGTCCTTTCCTGGTTTGTCCCGGGGAAGGCAGCGAAATAGATACATTTTTTTTGGCAGGTGGTATATATTGCTGTTTGCCCATCTGACCGCTGTGCCCGTAAAACGGGATCTTGGCAGATGCCTTGACCATGCTCAGACTTTCCTCTGAGCACGCTGGTCCTCGGCCAAAGTTGGAGCCTCAGGCAGTTGTTGCAGAGCAGAGCTGAGAGGGACGTACAGGCCTGGACTCGAGGCACGGAGCAGACGTGCTGGCTGTGCTCTGCTGCCCCTTGCTTCTGTTCCCAGCTTTGTGGTGCAGAAGAGCAACACGAACAGAAACACGGGGCTCGGCGTTAGTTGTTTGCTTTGTACACAGGCTTTTTTTGCAAGGGAAGAAACGAAGATGAAAAAAAAATCCAGAGGAGTATTTACTGGAAAGGTGGAATTACGTACTCCACTACTTAGAAATAAATATTAATTCTAGATAACCACTTTGATTCCTGCTTCAATAATTAATAGCTCATTTGTGCTTCTATACCAATGGGAACAGTCAGCTGAGTATGCCACCCTCTTGGCTAGGAAGAATAACTGCTTTTGGAATAGAACTTCTTTGCGGAAGATAGGACAATTTACTTGTTTCCTCTCGCTAATCGTTGTAATGAATGAAGGTGGAAAATACCCCCTGCAGAAATGTGGTACAGGTCTTCCACGGAGCAGCTTTATTGCTGGCAGCGCAGACGTGCACCTCGGCGCTCCTAACGCGGGAGTGTGTTCTGGCGACCTTTCTTCTTCTGAGGGCTGCAACTGTGGTTCCCAAACTGGCCAAACCCAACTCCTTTTGGCCACAGAAAGTAACATAACGAGAAGCAGAGCATAGTTCACTAATTCTAAGGCACTTTCCTGTATAGTTTAATTCAGTCAATTCATTTTTTTTTCCCCAGCCCTTGCAGCAACTCTCGAAGGAGCCCTGAGCACAACAGCGCGTGTAACCCTGCAGGCGATCACTGCCCAGGAGTCCGCAGTGCAAGCAGTGAACGCCCATTCGCAAATACTGAAGGAGGCCATGGACAATTCTGAGGTACAAAATAAAGGATTTTTTTGTTGTTGTTATTGTTTTTTTTTCCATTGTGTTCAACAACGCTTTTCAAAATGAAAGATGAAGTTGGAAGCTTTCCTTGCAGTGTCTTTTGTCACAGTTTTAACCAGTCTTTCCCCTTGTGAAATGTGTAGTTGATACCACAGTGGGTTTGCTTTTATTTTTTTTCCCCAAACTCCTCCGAAGAAAAGTTGAAGTTTACCCACTGATAGGTTTCACATTGTATTTTAATTCATTGTATTTTAATTCCAAAGCCCATTTTTCACCTAGATACAGTTAGCAACAGCCACTGCTCAGGTGGAAAAAAACCACATTAAGAATCAAACAAAAACAAAATTCTGGAAGAGAAAAATCATTCTTAAAGCTTCTAGCTGTGCTGTCGGTAAACCATAAGAATGTTGCTTGGTTTGAGTGAATGTTGCAGCAAAAGATGAATCTCTACAGGCTTTTGTTTTTTGGAACTCTTGTTTAGTGATTGCAATGACCCTAACTAGGAACCTGCTTCTCAGGCTGCCGGGGAGAAGAAGTCATCGCAGTGGCGCACGCTGGAGGAAGCGCTGAAGGATCGGAGGAGAGCGGTGGACGAAGCCGCCGACGCCCTTCTGAAAGCCAAGTGAGTTGCTTTTGGTTTTAAGGCTTGTCGAGTGGGCACTTGTCGTCAGCCCTGCGAGGGCTGGCACACACTAGATGAGTTGCTAAGAGGTACCAGCGTTTGTGTCAAACTGACGTGTTTGTGCCAAATCAGAACAAGGTTTCGTACGCTAATGAGTATTTTAATTCGTGGTGCCTGTGCCCACAGGCTTCACTGTACCAAAGAGTCTGAGACAGTTCTTTCTAAAAATGTTTGTCTCCTTATTACTTACATGTATGTTAGTAAATGTGAGTGAGATTAAAAGAAATCCATAATCCTTTTAGTATTCTTTTTTAAAATGTTGTCAATATTAAACCTATGGTAAGGGCTCCGTGACTGCACACTCTGGATTGAGTCAGTAATGTCGCTGGCGGCTTCTAGCTGTAATGAAAAATTAAACCAAGAGCATCATTTGGCAGTTCCATGTGTCAGCAGAGTAGCTTTTAAGGTCAGACTTAATTATTAAGGTCCAAGAAAAACTTGAGTCCCAGAATGCACTCAAAGAACCCGAGGTTCTTTGTGAACCACGTGGATGTTCAGCGAGTCTGGCGTGCAGGCTCGTGGCGTAGGGATTACAGCAGCAAAAATAAGACGATGGACAAATATTTCCAAGTGGCCCTCGTAATGAGGATAGAAATAAATCTGGAAACTTTGATGCTTCTGAGGCTGAGAGGGCAACACCATCCTCGATGTGGCACGGTCGATCTTGAAGTTAAAAAATTATCTTTGAAGTTGCTGTGCTGACTAAAATACTTAGGAGGTGTATGTGATGTTTCAAAGGGTAAAACCAAGCTAACACAGACCCCAGACGTGCAAGCTTTCGTTCTCTGCTGCTCTTTGCTTTTAATTGCTTATTTATTTTAAAGCTTGCTCCTTATTCCAATGAGGTCATTATAAACCTACATTGGTTTGAATGGATTTGGCAAAGAAACGCGTTTTCATTTTTTCCTTGATTTCCAATTATGCTAGAGGAAAGCAGTTCTTAACTACAAAAAATAAATAAATCTATCTTTACAGAGCTCTAAATTTTCTCCCATCCTCATTTACCTCCACCAGTCACCATGTCCAAAACACTTCTGCAAGAGTAAGCCGTCTATATTAAAAGTATTTCCTTGATAACGCTGTTACGTGATGGAAACATCTGCCTTCTAGTACTAACTTTGTTCTACTAACACTAACTCCTTTCAGTGAACTTTCTTTCATCTTCTCCCTCCAGCTAAGACTTGAGTACTAATTGCACCCTAAATAATTCTCATTTTATGTGGAGTAGACACACTGATGTCTTTAGGTTTCAGGTGGGGCAAAAATAAAAATCTATAATCAGAGCATCTTAGCTGTAGAGCTGGTAGATGGGAAGCACCAGTAGAGTTATCGAGTAGTTCTTCCTGTAACTACAGACAAACTTGCTGTTGGGATTATGTTGTGAGGCCTCTACGCATTAAAATTAGCAGCTGCTTCTCTTTTCAGAGAAGAGTTAGAGAAGATGAAAGGCGTAATCGAGAACGCCAAGAAGTCTCAGATCGCGGGAGCCAAATCTCACATTATCGCTGCAGAAGAAAATCTTCATCACATGATTGTTGACTTGGACAACGTCGTGAAAAAGGTAACGGCTCCTCTGCAGTCTGGTTGTGCCTTGAGAGTGGGGACAGCTCGGCAGCTTGTGCAGACATCCCGTTCCCAGAGCCTCCACAGTGCGTTAAATATTTTTCAAGTGTGAATTCCATCCTTTTTCAGCTAGACCCACTTTTTTGAGCTGATTACGCTAGCAGTGATCAGACATGACAGGATCTTTGAGAACTACAGCTCTGTCTCGAAAGAGCATCCACTCAGCTTGATCGGTGTCCGTCCTTTCTGTGCGTGACACCTAATTCTTTCCCTTGGATTCCAAGAGGAATTTAACATGAGATTAGGGAAGAGCAGGAGCAACGTGCGTTACAGTGACTTGGTGAGTGCATCACTTGACAGCTTGGAAGAGTGGGGAAGAAATGCAAAGGTGAAATTTATCTCCCTTTGCACCTGCTGCTAATTCATCAGGTATGTTTTGAGTGAGTTTAACCCAATAGTGGGAACATCAGAATTAACTGAGATGTGGGCGGCTGTCACGAGATGAGCGTACTAGGCCTGTGTGACACCTGTAAGCGGAGAAAAAGAGGTAGAGATCCTTAAAGATAAAAACTGAATTTAAGATACTCTTTTGGTCCTGTCTAAGCTACAGACTGGCTGTCTAGTTACAGTGTGCCTGTGAGAGGAAACGGATTAGTGGTAGTTCCAGCAAATAATTATTGGCTGCGAGAGGTTTGATATCACAAGGTGAGGTTTTTTCTCCCCCGAGTGAGCTTGCTTTTGGTTGGGCTGGAGGGTAGTGGTGTTTGCTGCTAACTCAGCGCCTGGCTTTAAATTCTGTATGCCTCCGTTTTCAGTACTTGCCTTGAAAAAGAAACTAAATCTCATTTTTGTTTGTTACAGGTTCAGGCAGCACAATCTGAGGCCAAGATAGTAGCTCAGTATCATGAGCTGGTGGCTACGGCTCGAGAGGAGTTTCAGCGAGAGCTCGACAGCATCACCCCCGACGTGCAGCCGGGCTGGAAGGGGATGAGTAAGTCTCCCATTGGGGCGTTACTTCGGGCTTGCCTGAGTTTTCTTGAAGTGCACTAAGAAGAATTACAATGTGCTCTTTCTTATGTGGACCTTCGTCCACGAAATCATCTTCCTAGCTAAGTGAATGTACCAGATCTCTAGAATGGTCAGGTTTTGTTTAAAAAACAACCAATCAGTATACACGGGGAAAACAAATTAAGTCGTTGATGGAGTTTCCTTTTGGGATATTAGTTTTGAAGAAACACATTTATTTAGGCACCTTGGAGATGGAGCTGCCTTTCCCTATGCTGAGTGAAGGGAAAACACCTTGGGGTTTGTGATTGCTGCCCCTTTGAGGGAGGGAAGGGAACCTTCTGGTAGGTTCCACATGCTCCATTTCATGCTGGTGTGAGCTGCTGAAGTACACGTGACTGACCTGTCCGGCTCCCTGACTCTCGCTGCCTCCTGGCAATCTGTTTCTTAACCAACTGCTTCTGATTCACAAGAATCTAGGAATGTCTGACTAAAACGTCAGTGTCCTGTTGCACTTTTCTACTTCCAACTGGTACTTCTTGCTTGGGCTAAACCGCAACATTGGTCTGGGGGTTTCCCAAGGTGATCTTAGTGGTTGGGATGTTTTGGGCTACACCTTGCTCGTAACAGAGACTTGTACTCGACATACTGTCCTTCCTGAATTCCTGAAGACTTGGGCTCCTGTTTAATTCACTTTAGATAAGAAGCTCTTAGTTTTCTGTTTTACTGTTGCATGACTGACTTGCCATAGTGAATGTGCATTAACTCTTCCAACCTCTCCTCTTTCTGTTGCAGAGATAACTGACCTAGGTGAGTTCTGGGCCTGCGAATGTTGTCTCTTTCTTTGTCCTTTTTTATGTTTGTGTGGTACATGACTTTAAATTACAGGCAGTATCAACAAAAGGGTGGAATGTTGCATTTCTAAAACGCTTCAGGCTGACGTACACTTTGGCATCCTTTCCACTAGTTTTGCATGTCTAATTCAAACCACAAACTCTTTGTCCAGCTGCACTTCCCAGATCAGTGCTTGTGAAAGCCAGGTATAAATTTTCTCTCTGAATTTAAGCCAGTTGGTATGTTCTGCTGAGATTCCAATTAGAAACAAACTTTGACTGATTCCAGTCGAGCTGCATGACAGTGTTTGTCCTCAAGCAGGCCCATCTCGCAGCAGTCCTGGCTCAGAGAGGTGCAGGGTACTCCAGCTCCTGCTGCTGCCACCGAAACGTCTCGGTATTTGGGTGCTTGGGAAGCCACGTTGGGCCTGCTCCAAGCTGCGTCACCAAAATCGAATTTAATTTGATGTTAGCTTAACTGCAAATTTAATCTTCATGATTGGTATTAGAATTGTTGATTCATTCTTTGATTATGAGGTTGATCGTTTCTTTTTTCCCCCTTTTGATCAAAGAAGCATAATTTCAAACTGGAGTGTGGTAAAACTCCCTTTGGTTTGTAACAGTTTAACAGTTGAGCTCAGTGGGGCTGCTCCGCTTCCCCACTGGACACGCCCGTTGTGCCGAGCCCTCCCGTTGCCCGTCCTTTCTCCAGCACTCGCCAGCAGGATGGCTGAAGGACTGGAATTTTGCTTGCTTTGGACCCTGCAGGAGCATTTTCCCCAGTAGTCCCCAGTTTTCCACCCAGGTGATTTAGCTGGCAGTCAGTGCAAAATGAGCTGCAGCATTTAACAGAGTCGATGCTGTTCTCAGGTCATCAAATCTCCAAATGCTGCAGGTACAGCTTGTCCCCTCCTCCGGTCCCAGCAGAAAAATAACAAATTCCTAGCAGACAGGATGTAGTTGTGACCCCTGCTGCTCTTTGAGTAGCCAGACCTGAAAGATACAAATTGGGGAACAAAATCTGGTTGGGAACAGTTGGTCTGGAGAGAAGATAATTCTGCCCATCTCTCACGATGTTTTCAGGATCAAATTTCTGAGCTTGTACCCAGCTGGAGGTATCGCTCAGCACCGGGGTTTTACATATCCTGCTGCCTGGTGTGCTGGCACAGGGAAAAATACACAGTGGTGTAAAGACCAAGAAAAGGGCATGGATATGAGAGCATAAATAATAGCTGTAATTTCAAAGTAACAAAGAGAATTTATCTCCTAGATGGAAAGTACGTGTAGGTGTGGCTCAGAAAACGGTACCGGGTGGGCATTAGCACAGGTCAAGGGCTTGAAGTGTTGAGAAACTTTTCACAACACGTGCTCGCTGCTTGGCCACGTGGAGTCTCGGAGTGCTCAGGCGGGAGGTGGGCGAGCACCGCGGCAGCCGTTTTCTAACGCCCCGTGTTTTCTCTAGCTGGCCAGCTGTCCACAGACGACTTAAATTCCCTCATTGCACACGCTCATCGTCGCATCGACCAGCTAAACAAGGAGCTGGCGGAGCAGCGGGTGAGGGAACAGCAGCACATCGAGTCAGCCCTGGAGAAGCAGAAACTGGAAGATAAAAAAGCGTTTGAGGCAGCTGTGGCCAAAGCGCTAGAGCATCACAAAAGCGAGATTGAATTAGAACAGGAGAAGAAGGTAAAGTGGCGCCAACGCACATGGTTAGATCTGGCTCCTGAAAGCCACAGAAGAGTTTAGAGTGGCTTTTTCATGTTTCTGTCTGCTGGTTGAGATCAGGTTTACTGGGTCAAAATAAACCTTTGACCATACTGGGTCAGATCTTAGGGCTAGCTAGCTCCTGGAGGCAGGATGGAGGAACTATCTCCATGTTCTTCCACTCTTTGCCAATGCTTTGGGATTTGATTTCTTTCAAGAGAACTATGAAAATTCCTCAGAATTGTAATGCCACTTTGGGCATGAAGGAAGCACAACTCAGAAATGTAGGAATTTGGACGTTGGAGGTTTTATCTTTTGAGACACCATAGTGCAGGGAGACACTCATGCCAAGTACTCCTGCTGTTTTCACACACGTGCCTCTGAAAATGAGATTAATCATTGGCCATTAGTTGAAAACTGCGTTGACATGAGGGGAACGAGGGAATTCACCCACAGCCCATTAGTTCAAAGCACTGCAGTAGCAGGCATCGATCTAGAAAAGCTCTTCCTTCAAGTTGCATGAACTGTCATCTTTGCATTTAACAGAAGATTGGAAATGACAAAATCCTTTACAAAACCCCCAAACAAAACAGAAAACAAAAAAAAAGTTCAGCTGCTCGTAAATAAACCTGCACTCCCCAGAGTGGCTGTTTTACACAAGGCCAGGTAAAAGGGGCAATACCGTTTTACTAAACGTGTCTAACTCAGGCAGTCTTACAGCATGTATGGAAAAGGTCCAGTCTGGTAAGTTTAGAAGCTGGTTTATAAACACGAGTGTCGAGTTTGCCATGTTACTGTATTTTCCCAGTGTATTAAGTGCCTGGTGAGTAACCACCAGTTACTGGCACTGTGGACTGTGAAGCTCCTCTTTAACATATTTAGGAGAAGGCCCAACTACAGAAATGGAGCTTGGCAGCTTTTAAAGACAAAGCATGGACTCTGTTAATGCCACTTCCATAAAAATGTACCCTTGGTAATCTCTGGTGGATGATAAGGTCGCAGCGTGTGACAAGCTGTCGCAAGAGAGCAGGACGCTGACCCCTGCTCGTGTGTGCACAGGTTGAAGAAGTCCGAGAGGTGATGGAGAGTGAAATGAGGACCCAGCTCCGGCGGCAGGCTGCTGCCCACACCGACCATCTGCGAGACGTTCTTAAGATCCAGGAGCAGGAACTCAAGGTGGAATTTGAGCAGGTAAGAGAGAAGAGACCCCAGGAGAACTAGGCGGGTATTTGAACCCTCGCAAAGCTCACTCTTTGCAAGAGACAAGAGACACGAACCAGCTTCCAGGAGACTGAAGCACAGGCAGGGGAGGGGAAGCCCCGCTCATCTTGAAGATAGGTTTTATTCAGACTTAAAAGCTTTTGCTATAGGGAAAAAAAATTTGACAGTAACAAGTGCAGTAACTGTTAAATTCACCCTAAAAGAGCTTTTCATTGGTTTATTGTATTTACTACATGCATTGTCCCTAGCAAGAACAGCAGATTTATAGAAACATACCTTAAAAATAAAATGAAATGTAATTTACCAGCTGTTTCTGGTCTAAGTACTCCGCTCTGTTTCAGAACTTGTCGGAGAAGCTCAGTGAACAAGAAATGCAATTCAGACGCCTTACTCAGGAACAGCTCGACAACTTCACGCTGGATATCAACACTGCCTACGCCCGGCTGAAAGGAATTGAGCAAGCAGTAGAGAGTGAGCACTGAAACCACGTTTCTTTAAGGACTAAAGTTGTGATTCCCCAAGGCCCATTAAGCAAACCTGGGTGCCTTAACCCAGGCTTGGGCATGTAGTGCCTGGGTTTGCCACCCTGCCAAGCAGCCAGTGGATTTCAGCTGCAGGAATCCAAATCTGTCGTCTTGTTCCCATCCCAAATTGTGGAACAGACTTGCTTTGAGAACAAGCACTGAGGGAGCGGCTGCTTTTGCAAGCAAGGTGGTTAGAGGGATGGCTTTTGCTGCTTGTGTTCATAGAATCATAGAATTGTCAGGGTTGGGAGGGACTTTAAAGATCATCTACATCCAACCCCCTGCCATGGGCAGGGACATCCCCCACTAGATCAGGCTGCTCAGAGCCCCATCCAGCCTGGCCTTAAAAACGTCCAGGGATGGGGCTTCCACCCCCTCTCTGGGCAACCTGTGCCAGGGTCTCACCACCCTCATGGGGAAGAACTTCCTCCTCACGTCCAATCTGAACCGACCCATCTCCAGCTTTAATCCACTTATATCATAGAATCATCTAGGTCAGAATCATTTAGATTGGAAAAGATCTTTAAGACCATTGAGTCCAGCCATTAATGCAGAAATGTCAGATCCACCACTAAACAGTGTCAAGTCGTGATGGCTTGCTGGGATGTGGG